ATGGGATGGTAAAGTACAGTTAAAAATAAATACAAATTCAGCTTCCAATACTTCCTAATAATCCATAGAAACAGTTCATAATATTTCAAATTTAAATACTCGTATTAAAAGTTTCTAATTGAAATATTGTTTTCCTCATAAGGGGTGCATAATTTTACTGTTGTTTTTAAGCCTTCAAAAAGGAAGAGTTATTTTTATAAGTCAAATGAATTTATTGTGCATATATTACGCGACATCTTGATCAATTGTAAACCGATTGCTTTAATTAAAAGGTTCGACTCCCCGTGTTGGTGCAGAAAGTGGAATTCTCTATATCTATTTATCATCACGTAAAGTCCTTGTATACATCTCTACTGTGCGCAATAAAGAGTTTATTATTATTATTAAAGTCCCTTGTGGGGTACACCTGTAAATTTTTGACGTGTTATCCTAAATAATTCTAAAAATTATTTTTAAACCCGGTTTATATTCAGCGCGGTTTGTCTCAACGCAATAGGCATAATTATTTGGGTTTACAAGTACTGAATTGTGCAATGAGACTAGTGCCTTGGTGTGGGATTTCTTCAAAATACGATTAGTTGCTCAATTAGGAGCGTGCCTCTCTGTTTTACAAACCGCAGCAGAAGTTCTTGCAATGAGTTAAATTGTTATGCCTTATTTACTTGCAGATTACATCTGTAGCGTAAGGAAATAAGAATACACGCGTAAGGCATGTTTGATTTTTGAACGTTTTGCAGTTCAAAACGTTCAAGCTTCAAAAATAGAACAGATTTTATTTATTTCACACTGCTTACCTGATAACCAAGAAATATATAATAAAATAATTTTAATTCCTATTTTATTTATTTACGTTTGTATAATGTTTAAATTATAATTAATTTACACATAATTAATCGAATGTGAACTATATCCAATGTTTACACCTGAAATAAAAAGATTTTATTTATTTATGTTTGACTCTATGTATTTAATAATCAAAAATGAATATTAAATTAAAATATTTAATTATTTCATTTAATCTACATATCAGCTATTAACTGTGCACTACTGGACATAGAACTCTCTCATAAAGGGGGATTTTGGCAGTACAAAGTTGCCACGCTTAGCAAGCAGGTTAGCAACTGCAGTTAAGCTTTAGTGATGTTTTATGAAGGACGCTGTTGCCCATTCCTCGAATATTAAGTTCCTTTGTCTCTTACGAGACCCTTGGGAGAGGAATGGTTGGCCCATTCTATGCCAGTATCACACAGCAAAACACACATTTGTAACACAATTAAAATACATAACTAACTAATTACAAAAAAAAAATTGAATCCAAAATCTAAATTCGAAATTTTTAATTCATGTAGTTAAATTTTTGAGTATAGAATTACATATTCAATTTACAAAATAAGAACATAAAAAATACAGATAATGTAATTGTAGAGATCCTCATATAAAAGAGTTTAACGAGTGCAGCCCTTATATACGTATGCACTCGTTAGCAAATATAATATTTGTTTAAATTCTTATTGCTTAACTAAAAATATATATATATATATATATATATATATATATATATATATATATATATATATATATATATATATATATCTATGTTGTTTAATATTTCACCATTTGTTACGATCATTGATGTTTGATGGAATTTTGAGTTTATAATCATTGTAAAAACACGTGTTATTTCACAACATCATTTTTATATTAGTCTTGCTTTCTAGCATCCTCAACGGTTTGATTTTTAGAGATTTTTTGAATTCTTTTTAATAAAATTATGGAATAGTACCAGTTTTGTTTTTTGGAAGTTAAAATTCATTTGTGTAAATAGCTCTATATAAGTATGCCGAATTGCATGTTTACTTATATCCAATGTTCCTGGAGGTAAATGATACACAACAGAAGAACGCGAATGATCTTATAACGATTCCGTTTTTTGCTATAGACCCACAAAATAGGTGGAAAAAATGTTCTAATTAAAATATTTAAAGAATTTAATTAATATTTATTACTTCATAACCCTCCATAGAACCGGTTTTTGGAACACATGTTAGATGGTGCATGAATAAAGAATATAATGTCAAAAGATCGTTCCACCCGGATCAATTTTACAATAATTAACAAAAATAAAAGATTAAACTATATAACTGCTATCATTATCTCTAATGCATATATTCATAGCTATTACTGAATAATTATGATGACTTCAACTTTAGATTTACGTAAATACCAATTAATGGCTGCCATGGGATAATGGCGGGTTTAGTTAGTCCTGCTATACTCACTAACATGTTTTTATAAGCGATTTCAAAAAAGGATGCGTGGTTGAAATTTCTCGATTCGACTATATTCTTTTGTGTATACTTGATATTTGTTACAATTTGTAATAGATAGAGTTAAATCCTTTATTGATTTTAGCACATTATTGAACTGTTTTTTTATTGAATAAAATGTTAAATTATTGTGAAATGTTTCTATTTATTAAAATATTAATATGTATATGTACCTGGACACTAATTGTAAGGTGGATTCTCAAACTTTTAAATGTTTACATACAATACAAATAAACAAAGCTAAAAATAGATGACCAAAACACGTGTCATGTTATAAGTATATAAGTAGTATATAAATGTATTATATAAGTACATATATTAATATAGTTATAACACTTGATTTCCTTGATCGACAAATTGTACTTTGCGAAACGAGATGCTCTTGTTTTGTAAGTATAAATCAGTTGTGTACCTAAATGCGTATTTAGATAAGTATATATACAACCTATAAAGTACCTACTACATAATAAATATTTATACCTTTTTTATTTGTACTAAATGTAATAAAGAGGAAAGATTTGTTTGTTTTGGTAGTAACAGATAAACTTAAAAACTACTCAACTGATTTTATAAACTCTTTCACTTTCAGAAAACTACCTTATTAGCGAGTAACACAAGCTATATAATATGTTCAAAAATTCTAATTATTAATGCAAAGCTGGGCCGGATCGCTAGTGTAATGATAAAAATAAATTATTGTTCACATTCATGTAAAGATATGCAATCATTCAAATATGCCATTAACTGTATGCAAATTACTATACCTACATATATAGCTAAGACTTATTTAGCTGAATCTTATGTTTTAACTCATTTAAACCTTGGTAATTATTATCTACTTTATATGTCACGAAGCAAAAAGCTCTAAATATTCTAACTTTATTAAGCATATGTTTAAACCGGAATAATATTCGAAATTACCCATTCAAATCAAATTTATTACATCTATTACAGATAGAAAAAAGAATAAAGAAAGAATAAACTTGTTATGATCAAATATTTAGACAGATTGGCTGTGCTTGGTAAAACCATAATTCCTTTAAAAACTTGTTCCGGTATTCTAAAAAGACGTATAAAACGTAGCATTTTTTATACTACTTAGAATGGCAAACAAGCTGACGGCCCACCTGATGGAAAGTGGTAACCGTCGCCTATAGACATAAGCAGAACCATGGACATAACAGTATACTGTTTCGCCCATGATACCCCCCATGCGTTGCCATTTCTGAGGACTCACATGTTATTCCTCTGTACCCTGCAAATTCACGTCATATCCCACCCTTCAAACCAAAACACAACCATGCAAACACAACTGCTTCACGGTTGAAACACGAATGGGACAGAGGTACCCAAGCATACGACTATTGTACAAAGTCTTCCTCTGGTATATAGCATAATATTAATGTAATCGTTTTTACCTACCTACCATAGCTTTGCTCGAGTAAGTTAAGGATTGTGTTGATTCAAATGTCATTAAAATTTGTTTAGCCGGTGAGACGTGATTTGGATATCGACAACTACAACAAATATCATGTTATCTACAAATATCATTCAAATATTTAATATTCAAATATAATATCAATAAGATAATTAAACTTAAAACCCCAACCTACCTTCTACGTATATTTCTAATACCTACACACACGCCTCGACCTTAACGTATTTATTTCCGTATGAAATAATTTTTGTATACGTTTCAATATTTTATTTTATCTTTACTTACTGTTATATATCTAAAATGTTAATACTGTTATATTATAAAGAGGAAATATTTAATTATTTTGTATGTCTATTTGTAACGGATAAACTCAAAAACTACTCAACCGATTTTAAAACTTCTTTATCTGTGGATAACTATACTATCATCGAGTAATTAAGGCATATATATTATTTCCAAAAAAAAGAAAACTAAACAGCCTACGAAATTTCCAATAATGCAACTCTAATAAGTATGAAAAATTTGTCTATTAAAGTTAATATAAAATACTAATTATTCATTCTATTTATTTACTCGTACGGAGCCGAGGCGGATCGCTAGTTTTTAATATTGGTAATAATAAATATATTTATTAATTTATGTCTCTCTTTACCTAATAAATATGTACCTAAAGATAATGTCAATGGACTTGAAACTGTGATGAATATTGAAATGCAAAAATACATATCCATATTAACATACATATTATTCAATTACAAATTCCAAATCTATTCGAGTTTGAATTTTTTTATTAAATATTTTTTTAATTATTAACTTATCAAAAATGTATTACCCATTTCTCTTTTATAGAAGGGTTGATGAATTTAAATAAGTACCTACTTGCAACAAAATGTCCAAGTACATGAACATAATTAAAAAGTCTATTCTCTATTAAAATCTCCAATTAGATAATATTCTGAAATTCAAATAGTTTGGTCTAAATATAATAATAGTAATATCAGTAACAATAGTATAAGTATTAATCGTAGCTCGAAGAAAAACAATTTTATTATATTATATTCTATTGCATTTTAATCTTTGATAATTGAGGCCACGTTATAGTTTTACAGAGACGTTACTAGACAGCATGTGTATTATATTTTTAAGTAGGCCTGTAATTTTCCATAACTGTAAGTAATTTATTATGCCATGTTATAAGGATTATTACAGAAGTAGTAATTAATAAATTCTCTTACCTACGAATTCAGGATCAGGCATGTACGGTGAAGCTGCCAACATGCTACGAAGGTCTCTCACACATCTCTCCAGGTCACCAGGTCCTTCACCAAGTTCCTGTTTCAAAACCTCCTCTTGTTTTAAAGAGGGTCCTTGGAGGAACGCCATCGCTGCACTTCACAATAATCGAATTGTTTCAAATTTTTAATTCGTGCTTAATTAGAATACCGTGTTTGTGCAGAAGTAACTACAAAACTGCGAGCGAATCGTTTTCAAGTTCTTATATAAACATGCGACGTATGGAAAAGGTAAGGACAATAAAGCCCCTTGCACATTAAAAGCGGAAAAACTACGCGCGATGCCGCTATGTGTGGAATCGACTGTATCGCAACATCGCGCCGCTCCGTGCAGCGTTTTTCATTTACGGAAATTTAATCAACTTTAAAAAGAAAGAGATTCCCAATCTGCTGGTTGCATTTTTTTTTTATTTTTGTTACCTTCTTACTCCGTTAGTTGTAAACCGATTTAGAACATTTCTTTCTATCTGAAAAGATATACTTACAAACTAGTCTCATAGCAATTTCATTCAAATCTGTTCAGTGGTTTATAAATTAAAATAACTGGTTTTGCCACAATTTGTGGAACACTATCTTTATTATATGCAATTTTTATAGTTGTGAGAACTAATCACAGTATGATGTCGAATAATATCGACATTACGAATTATAATTAAGAACATATAATTTTTTTACAATATAAAAGACAAAATATACACAGGCTGGGTCGTCAATGCGGTTCCGGTCATATCTGAACATACTTTAAAATACATACCCATACCCATCCCATACCCATCCCTTTCCTATTCCTAAAATCCTTTCCCCAACCCCGTCCCCCTATCCTACAACACGCAACCATGGCAGTGGAATTAAAAAAAAATAACATACCCCAGGGAGGTACCAGTAACCATGTTGCTGGAGAATCCTCTCTCGAGCAACCACGCTCGGGCTGCCCTGCGTATTCTGGGGGGGGCAAAATTCCGCTCTTTGGAACCAAGGGCAAACGGAGCAAGATTTCTACGGCATCCCCTTCGCTCAATGTGAGCTTCTGCAATATTAGGGGATTACATTCTAACCTAAACGCTGTCCACCACCACCTAGAAACGGCGCGGCCGGCATTGCTCTTTCTAACGGAGACACAGATATCCTCTCCAAACGAAACTTCATACCTGACGTACCCGGGCTATAAACTTGAACATTGTTTTGTTTCGCGTGCCGGTGTATGCGCGTATGTCAGAGAGGATATCTGCTGTCGCCGCCTTGGAACTCTTGAAGGTACGGACCTGTCCATTTTATGGCTACGCGTAGACTGCAATGACCATCCTCGCGTCTATGCATGCCTATACAGGTCCCACAGCGGTAACATCGAAACCGACCAACTCATTGAGCACGTCCAAATGGCTACAGATTCCCTGCTCGAACAGATTCCTTCCGCTGAAGTCGTGATTCTTGGCGATTTTAATGCCCACCATACCGAATGGCTTGGTTCACGTACAACCGACTATGCGGGAAGATCTGTTCATGACTTTGCTTTGGCTTATGGTCTGACGCAGCTTGTTTCCTCGCCTACGCGAATACCTGATGTGTTGGACCATTCACCTTCACTGTTGGACCTTCTGCTGACCACCCACCCAGACAACTATGTGATTTCCGTCGAAGCTCCGCTTGGATCGTCGGATCACAGTCTGGTGCGGAGCGAGGTGCCTCTCATGAGTCCGATTCCACCACGTTCCACGGGTAGACGTCGTGTTTGGCACTACAGGTCAGCAGACTGGGATGAGATGCGGATTTTTTTCGCATCTTACCCATGGAGGCAGGTTTGCTTCACACTGGATGATCCCGACGCCATTGCCAATTCCATTGCTGATGTGGTGCTTCAGGGAATGGAATTATTTATTCCTAACTCTGTGGTGCCCGTCGGCGGGAAATCCCAGCCCTGGTATGGAGCCTCTTGTAGAACAGCATCTCGTCTGAAACAGGAGTGCTTCCTAACCTGGGCTAAAGGTGTGGCGTCGCGAGATCCTAACACCAGTGCTCTTAAAAAGAAGTATAACTCTGCCTCTAGGTCTTTCAAAAGAGTTATAGCCACAGCGAAGTCAGAGCATATTAGTAGAATTGGCAAGAGATTGGCTAGTTTGCCCTCTGGAACTCGAGCTTTCTGGTCTCTTGCCAAAGCTGCACAAGGGAATTTCTGTAAGTCATCTTTTCCACCATTGCGCAGGGAGGATGACTCGTTGGCCCAGAACGCTAAGGAAAAGGCCGATCTTCTTGGATCCATCTTTGCGTTAAACTCGACATTGGATGACGGGGAGAAATCACCACCGACCATCACGTGTTGTAGGAGCTCTATGCCTGACATTAAATTCACGCATAGCTCAGTGCGTAGAGCACTTTTCTCCCTCGAAATCCATAAGTCGAGTGGGCCCGATGGTATTCCTCCAATTGTGCTTAGGACGTGCGCTCCAGAGTTGGCTCCGGTTCTTACGCGTCTTTTTCGGCTTAGCTACTCATCGGGCATAGTCCCAAAGTTTTGGAAGACTGCTCTGGTGCATCCGATCCCTAAAAAGGGAGATCGCTCAGATCCAGCTAACTATAGGCCCATAGCTATCACTTCCTTATTCTCGAAGGTTATGGAATCCATCATTAACCGTCAACTGCTCCGGTACCTAGAAGAACACCAGCTGATCTGTGATCGCCAGTACGGCTTTCGACAGGGACGTTCGGCCGGTGATCTTTTAGCTTACTTAACACACCGATGGGCAGTGGCTATCGAGAGTAAGGGAGAGGCCTTAGCAGTTAGTCTGGATATCGCGAAGGCCTTTGATCGGGTGTGGCATAGAGCGCTGCTTTCAAAGCTACCTTCATTTGGGTTGCCTGCGAGACTGTGCATTTGGGTCGCCAGTTTTCTCAAGGAACGTAGCATTAAGGTCGTAGTCGACGGAGCATGCTCTGATTTAAAACCTTTGAATGCTGGTGTCCCGCAAGGCTGTGTACTATCTCCGACTCTGTTTCTTCTGCATATCAATGATATGTTACAGATAAGTAATATTCATTGCTATGCAGACGACAGTACAGGAGATACATTATATACCGGTCATGCAAGGATCTCGCGGGCACATACCGATGAGTGCCGGAATAGACTTGTGTCTGAAATCGAAACTTCACTCCATCAAGTTTCGATCTGGGGTGAACAAAATCTTGTCCAATTTAACCCCAAAAAGACACAAGTCTGCGCGTTTACCGCAAAAAAGACGCCGTTTGTCGTATCTCCTCACTTTCAGGGCACTTCCCTTGATAAAAAGTCGAGTCTAGGAATTCTGGGCGTTGATATATCTTGCGACGTCCAGTTTTGCGGTCATCTGGAGGAGAAGGCTAAGATAGCTTCCAAGAAGTTAGGAGTGCTCAATAGGGTGAGACGATATTTCATGCCAGAACACCGCCTGAAATTATATAAAGCCCAAGTCAGACCGCATATGGAATACTGTTCTCACCTGTGGGCAGGAGCGCCACAGTACCAACTCCTTCCGTTAGACCGCATTCAAAGTCGGGCGGCTCGAATTATCGATAGTCAACGCCTTACTGTCCGACTTGATCCACTGAAGCTGCGCAGAGATGTTGCATCTCTGTGCATCTTCTACCGAATTTATCATGGGGAGTGTTCTGAGGAATTGTTCGGATTGATACCTGCTGCTGATTTTCACCACCGTACAACCCGCCACAAACTAAAGTTTCATCCCAATCATCTGGACGAGTGGCGGTCTTCCACCGTGCGTTTTTCAAGGCACTTTCTTCCACGCACAACCATTCTTTGGAATCAACTTCCAGCAGCAGTATTTCCGAACCGATACGACAACATAACCTTCAAGAAAAGAGTATATTCCTTTTTAAAAGGCCGGCAGCACACCTGCAATGCCGCTGGTGTTGTGGGTGATCATGGGCGGCGGTAGTCACTTACCATCAGGTGAGCCGCATGCTCGTTTGCCCCCTGTGTTGTAATAAAAAAAAAAAAAAAAAAAAGAACAGAAATGTATATAATGTTTTGGCATATATGTAAACTTATGAATATGGTTGCTAACAACCTATACCCAACAAATGACGGTCTTAATCCACGAACTTAAATAAATAAATTTATTAATAGATGTGAAGTCGCCCTAATGCGAGAATTGTACAAACGATTCTTGTGTAGACTAAACCAGGTGTGTTTCCTAATATTAATTTAAAAATAATTATAATGATAAAAGCAGAATGATTCTACTCCCTACATTTTTTAATTTCTGGTGCAAAAAGTATCATATGCTTATAATTTAGCTAATACTTATTTTAACTATCAAAATTCTGATAGTAACGATAAACTTCTTGTCACCTACAACGCCATCTATTAACAATATTTCGAAATAGCGACTTCCATAAAAATTATTTATTTTAAATTATACATTTTTCAGTTGAAGTTTTTTTTTTCTTTCAAACCACCCATTAAGTACAACAAATAAAATAAAAAAAAAAAAAAAATCGGTTAAGTTGTTTTTGATTTCAGGCTCTATAAAATGTACTATAGCTCAATACACGGATTTTGGTCATTGGGTGATGTAAACAGTTAGTTTTTATTGACGTACCTAAATAAATTAAGTGGACCGATAGCTTATCTGCCATTTAAAGCGGCGTTAAAAATATTCAGGATAATAATAACATAAATTATTTCCAAAATATTGAATTTTCAGACATAGATTGTGAAATTATATGATCACCAATAAATACACTATGTGTGACCATGGTGAATATGTTAGTTTTATAATGAAGTGATATAATAATTAATAACATGTAAGATTGTTTTAAAATAATGGAGGTCTTTTGTCTCACTTTCATTCGAAATGAAGGATTTATAAAATAAGAAATAATTCATTATTTTATAGCTTTTAGTCTAATGCCTACTTAGTTTGCAAAGTTCGTACGTCGGCTGCAAACATTTTTTTTTATTGAAGAATGAAATGTCTTGGAATTTTTTTTAATATTATTCAATAATATTCATCTCTGTCATTCATTAAATCCAAAATATTTTAAATATAAGCGACAGATAAAAGCCGCAAGTGTCTCAACATACAAAAATTTAATGTCCCGCTGTTACGAAAAGTACATAAATACCTTAATGTTAAAAAGCTATCATTTTGTCAACTCTTTAAACTTAAAAGTATAAATGTATGGTAAAAACAACATACGT